ACTCAGGCACTGACACACACGGAACACCTGGGCTCCTTTATGAAGGGGCAGGGGTGCGGGTTCTAACAAACCCCCTTGCTAGCAGGCTCTGTCTAGGGCGGAGACTGTTGCATGCAGACTGTATTTGGAGTGGCCAGGTTAGGGAGAATTCTGAGCAGCTAACTCTGAATCCCCTTCCCTGGCACACTCACGGCCCCCCGCTGGGATGCAGAGGCTGTTTCTGGCAGTTGTATGCCAGCCGCCTGCCGTCATTGCTGTGGTAAAGTGCTGTGTGTTGCACGAAGCATGGAAATTTCCCAGATTTGGAATCATGTGCTCTTTGAAATTGGAGATCCTGTGCCCAAAACTTACCCTGCCAGAGCCAGGGTGTGACTCAAGCCGCAGATATGTGTGCCCCCCAGGCCAGCTTCCATCCCTGACACCTGGTGCTTACCCCAAGTCCCACACCACCAGGTGTGGTCCTGGGGGTCCCTGAGGCCAGCTCAGCCCTTGGATGTGGGGGAAGGGAATCACCCTCCTTTCTCCCTAACAAGTTCATGTCTTGGTTAACAACTTGAAGAGCTCTCTGATTTGCTGTGCAGTAACTGTCAAGGCTGACTGCCCTCAGGAAATTATCTGACCCTGTCATCTAACTCCTCCAGTGTCCAGACGGCGCCAGAACCCTGGGGAGGATGGAGTGGGCATTGGGAAGCGTGAAGTGAGGCTGCAGTGCCAGCTCTCCTGCCAGCAGACCCTGCAATGGCTCTGCAGAACTTGTTGGAACTACTAATTCATTCTGATGTTTAAGACTTATTGTCAAGCACAGCAAGGTTATTTCTTTAAAAAAAAAAAATCAAACTAGGGCTGGAGCGATAGTACAATGGGTAGGGCGTTTGCCTTGTACAATGTTGACCTGGCATCCCATATGGTCCCCTGAGACCCTCCAGGCTTAATTCCCGAGTGCAGAGCCAGAAAGTAGCCGTGAGCATGATTGGGTCTGGCCCCCAAGCAAAAACCAAACAAACTGAGCTCTTTTTGTGAGTGATCTTGTCTTTGCCACAGAATGTGAGAAGAGTTGTTTTTATATAGTGTTTGTAAAAAAGTCTGCTCATTCTTCCCAACAAGCCACTCTTTCTCATAAGTTTGTCTAGCATGGCAAGAAAAAGAAAAGGCTTCCCCGTATGAAAGACCATCAGTGAACTGGGCCCGCCCTGGCTGAGTCCAGGTCATCCTGGGGAAGAGGGACAGGGTGGGGGTGTGACTCTCACTAGCAGCATCTTGTTTTGTTTTGTGTTTTGTTCAGGGGCCACACCCAGTGGCACTCAGGGCTTACTCCTGGCTCCACATTCAGGGATCACTCGTGGCAGGGTTCAAGGGGCCATCTATGGTGCTGGGGATCGAACGCAGGTCGGCTGAGTGCAAGGCCAGTGCCTTGCTGACCCACTGCACTTTCTCCCCAACCTTTCTGCCACAGCCTCTCTGAGCAGCCGTCTGGAGGTACAACAGGTTTCTGGTGGCAGGAATCAGAGTTTTACAGTTTGGGAGAGGGCGCTAGTGGTGGGGCATGGAGGTGGAATGTTTTCTTATCTGAACAATAAATGAAGTACCACTGTAATCTCTTTTACTAAGCTCATGGAAAACTAGAGTCATCAGCTGCTAGCTTTACAGATGAGGGGGATTTTAACAGCAAGATTACCTGACTTGACTCGAAGCTCGTAAATCTTGCTGGAGGGAGAGCTGAGCCCGAAGGCAGGCAAGATCCCGGCCCTTCGGCCCAGGGAACATGGTCCCTAGAAATTGGGGCAGCCAGCACTGCTGTGCCAGGGCAGACTTCAAGCCCAAGCTTGACTCTGAGTGTTCAACAATGTCCTCTGCCAAGTTGTCATGTTGCAACAGAGACATGTTTTGCTTTCAATCAATGAACTGATCATTCTTTCAGATGATTCCTTCAACAGTTGCTGAGTGATGATTGTATCTTTTCAGTGACCTTTATATATAAAAAATTACTTGGGAGAAGAGAGCAACTCCTGTTTATTGGCCCCTTGATGGGGATAACACCATCATGTCACGTACCCGCGAGTTGTGGGAGGTAGGCTTGACTGTTCTATGAGATAAGTTGTAGTTGAGGCTTCTACTAAAGAGGGGTCAAACGATGCACCCAAGGTGACACTGATTATTAGTTCACGGGCCTGGGATTCACACCGAGATCACACCGTACTCCACAGCCCACACACTGCAACATAGAGCACAGGTAAGGCCAACAGTGTTCCAAGCCTCCAACCTAAATTGAATCAGACACAGTTGCCAAAGGTTGGCTGCTTCTTTTCCCAAAAAGTCCTTTTACTTACCCTGCAGGTCAGACCACCTTCTTATCACAGGCTTGTTTGACAGCAGATGAAGTGCGCAGAGACCACAGCACCCGCTCAGGGCTGCCTTCCGAACTCCTGAGCCTAGGGGCCATCAGATGTATATCCTGAGTAAGACTATTGCCAAAGACACGGCTCTGCTCAGGGCACTGACTGAGATGATCATCACATAAAACCGTTTTGGACATGGAAATCATCAAAACGCTTTTTCCCAGCCAGAGCACTGGTTCACAGGTCTACTGACTGCTTTGCATGTTGGAGGCCTGGGTTCCAGCCCTGGCATCACATGCTTGCCCCAAGCACTGCCAGGAGCAACCACTGACTGTGGTCCCCAAACCAAACCTTTCATTTTATCCTACTTTTCTGGATTTTTCTTCCTGAGAATCTAGAAAAAGAAGAAAGTGGTAATACCACAGTGGAGAAAAGAATCATGGATATAGAGGTGCTAATTGTTGGGGGTCCCAGACACAGACTACAGGCCCTAATGTAGCAGGAGGGTTATTTCATTATCTTAGAGACCCCCGTGAGCCCCATCTGGAAGAGGTTCCCTACACACGTTTACACACACACACACACACACACACACACACACACACTTATGACATACACGGGTCTGGGGACAGATGCCTTGCCCCTGCAGGCAGGAAAGATGGGAAGGGGGAGAGATGGGGCAATTTGACTTTCTTACACCAAAGTGCCCCAGGCCATCCACTAGTATTCAATGTAGAAGTCACCAGCCAGAGTTAGAAATTCTGGAAAACCTTCTCTAGCACTGTGCTCTTTAGTTTCCTGGCTTGATCTCTGTCTGTCTTGGAGGAGGGGGGGCTCTTAAATATTCCCTGCGGTGGCCTCGCTGGGTCAGCTCAGCCTCTCTTTCGGGGCTCCTTCTCTAACTGCTCGAATCTCCCAGTGGGCGCTTTCTGGGCACTGCTTGTCATGCTCTCTCTTCCCTCACTCACCCTCTCTCCTCTCTTCCCTGTGCCTGAGACTCTAGCCTGGTCCTTCGATTTAGAACCACCTGGCAGTGGTCTAAACATGGCAGTGGCCGTGACTCAGGTTGCACCAGCAGGCCTTGAAGGCACACTCAGGGGGGGCGCCATAGGATCACCCCTGGATTCCTGCCTCCATGGCCAGTGAATGCCACCTCTAAAATCTCCCTAAACCTGACCCTTCTCTCCGTCTGCTTTGCCAAGTCAGGCTTTTGGTAGACATGTGGTTTCACTGCCCGGGTCCCCTGCTCCTCCTGCCCCCCAAACACCCTGTCCCACACCTCTCCTTGCTTCTCCTCTCGTCCCTCCGAGGAAGCCCCTTCACCCCTGGCACTATCCTCCTCTGCCTCCACCAACCCCGGCCCTCTCCTCCTCAGACAAGTCTCTTGAAAGCCTCCTCCCACAGACCCTCACAGTCTGGCTCCACTGCTTGCCCTCCATATCCCAGGAACCCCCACCACCCCCTTCCCAGCAGACTCAGATCCAACTGTGCAGCCCAGCTCCCTGCCTATGGCTGGCTGCCTCCTGGGACTCCCTGACCTCCTGCTCTCGGCCACTGGCCGCCATCACCCACCTCTTGCTCCCCTCCGCAGAGAAGTCTCTTGCTTCTGCTCCTATCGCCGGAGGCTGCCCCACCTCTGACTCCTACCCGGGCTTCCACATTTGGCACCACGTCCTACGGGACACGCCATCCATATGACCCGTGAGCATCCCAAACCTCCTATCTCTCCTGGCAGACCTATGCCCTGTCTACCACGGGTCTTAGTCTAATAGTCGCACACACACACACACACCCCCATCCTATACACACACATCAGCTGTACCCGCTCCCTGCAGCCCTACCCTCTCTCCCACATACAGCCCCAATCCCTGCGGCACTGCCACCCCTCTGATGCCCACTTCTGCCTCCTCCAGGCAGGTTCTCACAGGGCTGCCTCCTGGCCGGGTCCTCCTGCCTCCTCACTCCCCTCATTTCTGCTAATCAATGCCTCCCTGACCCACTTCCGACATAACTTACATCGCCTGGCCAGGTCTCCATTGGTTCACGTGGGCTAGGGCTCATGATCCACCATCCCTCCTGCTCTTTTGACACCAGGCTCTGGCCATCAGCACTGATTCCCCTCCCCGCGCCTCTGGGCCACCTCCTCCCTGCTCCGGCCTCGTGGGGGTCTGGCCAGTCCATCCAGGGCCACAGGGGAGCTTTTCCAGAAAGCCTGACTCATGCACGCCACGTGAGGCTGTGTGACAGCCTGTGTCCTGGGGCGGCCGCACCCTGGGCAGGGAGCTGCTCTCCCATCTCCCCACCCTCCAGCATCTGTCAGGCACTGGGCATTGCCCAGCTGCGTGTTGAGAGAATGACTGTGCCCTGGAGAGAAGGTGCCACCCTCCTTCTCAGCACCCAGCCTTTCTGAGCCGCTGCTCACAAGGGTGCTTAAGGTGGCACGTCAGTGCTAAGACTCTCTCCCTGTGGCCCTGGAGGGGAGAAAACGGGTACTTAGAAAACAGAGACGAGGGTAGCCGGAAAGTCCCCGGGCATCAGCATCTGTCTGTCTCCTGCTGGCAGGAGCATTTTGTTTGTTTGTTTGCTGTAGGTTCTGGAAGTTTCGGAGTTCTCGGGACGCGGATGTAAGGTGGGGAGCGCCCTGCCGGGCTGCCACTCGCCTACCCGCTTGCACGCCCCCAGCAGACACCTCTGCAGCGGGCAGGCGCGCGTCGGGGCGCGGAGGCGGGGGCGGCGAGGCGGGCACCGGCCCTCCTCCTCCGCGCAGCCGGCCCGGCTCCCCGCCCCTCGCTTACTTAACCTGGCCCGCGGCGGCGGCGCGGCGCACTTCCCCGGCTCCGCGCTCGCGCCCTGCAGTTCCATGGCGCTCCTCGTGCGGCTGCTGCCCCTCGCCCTGGCGCTGGCCCTGGCGCCCGCCGCCAGCTGGGCGGGCCCCTTCAAGTCGCCCTACCAGCTGGTCCTGCAGCACAGCCGGCTCCGGGGCCGGCAGCACGGGTAAGCTCGGGGCAAGGGGACAAAGCCCCCCGCAGGGCCAGGGGGCAGCGTGGGCGCTCTCCGAGAGGGACTGGTCGGCCCCGGAGAGGGGGCGAGGCAGAGAACGCCCTGGGGGAGGCAGGGGCTGGGAAAGCGGGCCTGCACCCCCATGACCCTGGCCAGGAGCACGAGACTGACCGGCTTTGCGCTGCTGCCCCGTCCCCGGGGAGAAGGGGAGGGCGGGGTGGGCGGCTCTTGGCCCGGAGTCTCCGCGGAGAGTTGGTTGAGGCAGAGGGGAAGCCCACCTAGCCCTCACTGGTTTCTGTTCACCTGGCCAAGCCGGCTGGCCTCCATCGACTACCAAACCCGCCCTGTCCCCTCCCCTGCCGGATGAGCAGGAGTCCCTGGCCTCACGCACTTGCACAAAAGGGAAACTGAGTCTGGGGAGGGCCCACCGGTCCCCGTAACAGCCCGTGAGGCAAGAGGAAGGAGATGTAACTGTTCAAACAAGGGCTGGGCTTACAGGTGTGGAAACCTTATGGTCACAGATAGTCCTGTGAAAGGTGGAATCTGGCGGCTTTGGAAGCAGAGTCAAGCCGAGGACACCCGCAGAGCCTGGCAGAGGGAGGTGTGATTTCTGTAGCCCCCCCTGCGAGCCACCCTTGCCTGCCCCGCCTTCTCCACCGCCAGATCAGATGAGATGGGGGCAGACACGTGTGCCACCCAGATGCTACCTGCTCCAGCTATGTCCAGGCTGTGGTGTGGCCAGGACATCTGTCCTGGGAGCCCCACTGGCCGTGAGGGTGGGAGCACTCGGATTGACCTTATAGGACTGTGCAGGCGCTGACTGTGCGCTCCTAAGAGAGTGCCCTCGGGGATGGGTCCCCCTTGTTCCTCCTTCCTCTGGGTGCCCAGGGATAGGGACATTAGGGGTGACACCAAGCCAGACCAGACCTCAGTGTTCCCACCTTCCTGTTGGAGGGTAACTAGGGGCCCATGAGGAAAGAGAGAGGGAGTCACTTCAGACTTTGACTGAGGGGTGACCTGAAGGGGCAGCTAGGAAAGAGAGGGAGGGAGGGCGGGGGTGTGACTCGGTGGTAGAAGGGATGGTGTCTGGGTGTGATCCCCGGCAACCCCCATCAGAAAGAGAGTGGAACCGGGGGGGGGGCATGGAATGAGCCTGGCATTCCCAGTGTGCCCTGGCTCCCCTCAGCCCTCCTGCCTTTCTTGCCAGTGCGGTATGTTCCCATGCACTCCCTCAGTATCAGTCTCGTAGCCTCTAAGACGACAGACTGGCCAGTCCCTCTGCTACCACCACCCCAAAGCTCCCACACAGGTGGGCAGTGGGGTTCCACTGAGCCCCACCCCTATCCCAGAACTCCTACTTCTTGGACCCTAAAAAGACAGAGCAGGGAAGACAGGCTTCTGGTTCATACAAGTGTCCCCCCACCTCCCGATGGCTTTCCCTAAGGTGATTCATTAGTTTCCATTACACACACACACACACACACACACACACACACACACAGAGGCAAATTCTCTTGCTCACCATCTCTTGGTGGCTCCGATTACCGCTCACCTACCCCCTCCTGTACCCAACATTGGTGGTGGGCAGATGAAGCTTGAGGACCACATGAGGAGCCACAGACAGTGGCCCTTGGCACCTCCTCTCACTAATGGTCCCTGAAATTGCCACGGGGCAGCCTGGTCCAGTGCAGTGGGGAGCCAAGTAAGGAGGAATGGGGGATGTGTGTAGTCCCTGAAGAGAAGGGGGAATAGGGCATGGGCTGGACTGTCCTGCAGCTTTTGGTCACCCCTAACCAGGCTTGTGTGCATCATCTCCACGACACAGAGTGGCCAGTTTTCTCTGGCCCATTTTGCAATGGAGACAGTGAGCTTAGCAAGATGCGGTGACTTGGTGGGAACCCAGAAGAAGTTGGGAGGACAGAGACTGTGGTCTGGCCGCTGGACTCCAGCTGTGTCTGTTACCATAGGGTAGGGGTGGGGAAGCTTTTTTTTTGCCAAAGGCTATTTGTATATTTATAACATCCACTGGCCCTACAGCACACACAGGCAGACTTGGGCAGCCGATGAGAAGCAGACGTGTCTGTCCCCTCATGTACTGGGGCCAGATCACAGGGTTCCTTTTTGAGTTTTGGGGTGGGGGCGATTCCCCTGACAGCCCTGGGGTAGAAGACTAGGGGGGGGGGAGAAACACCGAGAGAAGGAGCAAAGCACTCAGACATGCAGATACACACCCCCAGCACAGGACTGCATTTCCTGCCACCCTTGATTTTCCAATCAAGTCAAAAAGCATGTGGAACAGTAGAGCCGTTGTGCTTTGAGGCAGAAGCCCAGAAACAACTCACGCTTCTCAATTAAGCTGCACCCGAAACTTCCCATCCTCACAGCCCACCCGAGGGGCCAGGGTGCCCATCACACCCATTTCTTCAAGGGCAGCAATGGCAGGAACTCTGCAGTGCCACCTCCACCAGAAATCCTTAGAGACTTGCAACCCCCCCACCCCCATCCCACAAGCAGCAGGAGTTCATCCACCGTGACTGTTTCCACGCGCTCCCCTAGAAACATGTCTGAGACCCTGCAGTAGTTGCCGGCTCCTGGGCTGCAGTGGAAGGAGATTCTTGGTTGCTGGCTGTGCTCTCTGAGTCCCCAGCTACACAGAGAATCAGGGGGGACTTTAGCTCGAATCCCTGGGGGTTGCGGCCTTTGGTCAGACCCAGCTGGGATGCTGGGGACCAGATGCTCTTCTTGTAGACCCCAGGATTCCACTGCTGTCTTAACCCCCCTCGGGTACGCACTGTTTGCTCCACCTCCCCCGCCCATCACCTGTCTCCTGAGCTACACCGTAGGTGAGAGGTGACAGCCACATGGTTGAAGCGAGCAGGAAGAGAGACAAAGAGTCAGGGCTTCCCCTTCACTCCCCACCACCCTCTGTGCCCTAGTCTGACCATGTTCAGCATTGATGGAGGTCAACAGGTGCTGAGCCGGGCCTGGGGATGGCGCTCCCAGCATGCACCACCATTTTCCCAGCACATCCATGGAACAGGACCTTGATTTGGGGAAGAGTATTGCCCTGGGGTGCTGAACTCTGAGTGCTTGCAGGTGCTTTCAGTCTGCCCGAACACACGCCCCTGACCATAGCTACCACTTCCCTCTGAAAATCTCCTAGTTGTCATGACACCTCCTGTTGCCTCTTCCCTGCCCCCCACCCTGCCTCTGGGGACTCCTACCGGAGCTCCTGCTACCTCGTGACCTGAGCTGCCCTGCCACAAGACCTCAGGAGCAAATATACTGACTAAAACTGGTGAAGCCAAGCCCCCCCTACCCTGACCCGCTCTGGGAGGTATCTAAGCATGAGCCAGCGAGTGCTTTGTGCTCAGTTTTCCCGAGGAGTGCTGGAGGGTCTTTGCAAACTTAAAGGACCTAAGAACAGACTTTTTAGTTTGTTTATTCTATTTATTTAGTCACCGTGAAATTACATAGTTATTCATGATTGGGTTTCAGGCACATGATGTTTCACCAGTGTCCACATCCCTCCGCCAATGCCCCCACTCCCATTTACCATGTATCTGGGAGAGTATCTCGCCCACACGGCAGGGCCTGGCAAGCTCCCCGTGACGTATTCGATATGCCAGACACAGTAACAACAAAGTCTCCAATGGAGATGTTACTGGGCCCGCTCGAGCAAATCGATGATCAACGGGAGGGCCTTTACTTTACTATGTTTGGTGGGGGTTGGGGGTGTTGCTCCAGGAGCCATTCAGCATGGAACCAAGGATTCCTGCATGTGTTCCAGTCCACGGAGTTGTCTCTGCAGCCCAGCGCTGGTGTTTTCCACCAGTTCATTCCCGGCTCCTCCTTCACCCAAACCTGGTGCTGGGCCCCATCTAGAACATGCCAGAAAGAATGAGGCAGAGAACCCACCCTCAGGTTCTTTGGAGAATGGTTGAAGAGGAGAGAGGCCACACTCAGATCTCACCTGCAAGATCCATGTAGGTCCTTAGCAGCAAAGCAAGGCTGGTCAGAGGGACAGAAAAGCATCTCCTAGGAGGAGATAGAAGCTCTCCCAGCAGCTGGTACTGTAGCTGGGGCCTGAGTCATGTCCAGCAGTGAGTAGTGGACACCAGCTTGGGGGGGGTCTCAGCAGCAGCTGGCTGAGCCCTTGAGTGCATAGGTGGGCGCTCTTGTAGGCTGTGTTGGTGGTGGTGGGGGTGGGTAGCTGACCAGGGGATGTGTCTGCAGAGCTTCCTTGGGAAGTTTGGGACTGACACAATCTGAGCTCCTGCAACAGGGCTGGTGGCAGTATGGAGAGGCCAGGCATGTGCCCGTTATGTTTCAGCATGAGATGGGGTGCAGAGAGGAGTCTGGCTGCTCTCAAAGCTGCTCCTACCAGACCTGCCTTTTTCACTTACCTTCATTCTCTCCATCTGGGACACACAGTCTGGGGAGTTTCAAGAGACGCTTCTTTAAATTTGAAGATGTACTGGGAGTGAGCAAGTGTCAATGTCCAAGAAAGATTGCTGTCAGTGCGTGACCTGTATTTGGGTCATTTTTACTTTGGAGGGAGGGGGGGCCCTTGTGGCAGGGAGAGATGGTGATCTCGATCAGAAGAACCAGAGGGTACCAGTAGGTCATCCTGCTGCCCCTTCTCCATATCTACATTGTTGTCATGACCCTCTGAGGGATGGCGTGAGGTTGCGAGGCGTCTTGGTCATGTTGCCACCTTTGATTTCAGCCCCAACGTGTGCGCTGTGCAGAAGGTCATTGGCACCAACAAGAAGTACTTCACCAACTGCAAGCAGTGGTACCAGAGGAAGATATGCGGCAAATCCACGTGAGTATTCGTGACAGCTGCAGGCCACCACGAGGCCACCCTGGCTGTGGGGACGCCGGGCTGCAGGGGCCCGTGGACTGGGTCAGACTTCTGAAGGGTAGGCTGCCTGCTGAGCCTGGAAGATGCATTTGCAAACCTGTCCAGAAACTGTGTGCTGGGGAGGGCCATTATCAGCTGACCAGTTTTGCTTTTCATGTTTAAAGCTCCTGAGAAAACTCGGATATGTTTTTCAGAGCAGGGTGGAAGCCACCAGCCTCTGTCAGGGACCAAGAAAACGCATTGATCAAGTCATACTAAATACCACCTGCTAAACTAGTCCAGGGTCACATCCCCCAAAAGTTGAATGCTCATCCCGACACAGCACAGTTTATTAACAACCTGAGCTTTGCTCCCGAATTCAAACCCTGCCTCTTGCCACTTGGGCAAGCTTTCTTATCTTTGAAACCCTCAACTGCATCATCTAAGAAACCGGGAATAGTAGCCAGAGTCCTGGGGGCAGGGAGTCCCTTATGAGGATGGGATGAAAGAATGCAGGGACTGAATCGGTCACCTGGCTTACCTCAAGTGCTTGGTAAGCCTGCTTCTTATTATCTATAAATCAGGGCCACACAGGAAGAGAGCGTGTCCTTGGTGTGTGGCCTATTGTGGTTACAATAGGGCTTACCAATGTTTCCATATGAGCAGGGGGTTGGGACATTCACCCCAACTTCTCTGCCACCCAACAGAAGCTTATCCTAACAGAATTCCAGGGATCCTAATCTATTGCAGCACCAGCCAGCTCTCTGCCAACAACAGGGAGAGGCCCCTGCAAAGCCTTCAGGCCACTTGTGAGGGCCCGACCTTCTTCCGCTGTATAATAGGAGGATTAAGAGGCTCAGAGCCACTCTCTCCAACGCTTTCCCATGGCCCAGATTTGTCATCATTTGGCTTGTGACATTGCTACTGAGCAGACAACTCCTCCAACTTCGTAAACCAAATGAATGGAAGGGGGAGTTACTGTTCTTTCCCTGGAGGGCCCACATCATGTTAGGCCATTATCAATCTTAGTATGGTTGGAGGGAACTCAGGGACCACGTCGGGAGGGAGACGAAAGCAGCTCCCTGATTGCCTGTCGAGAACTGGTCAGGGACAGCTGGCTGTCCCCTGGACCCTACCTGGCCTCAGAGCTGAAGGTGGAATGATCTAAGAGGACCCTCAAGTCTAGGGGAACCAACCCCAGTAGCAGCACTGTGACTGCTGCTTCTCTCCGCCAAAGATGATGCCAGCTCTCTTTCACATGTCTTTCCATGGTGCCAGGACAGAGTTGCACCTTCAGTACGCTTTACCTTATCCACAGATACAGCTGACCTGCTCAAAGAAACAGGCCCTTCATCATGTCTCTGCACACACCACCAGCCCCCAGATAATTGTTTCTTGGAAAATAGACAAAGCGTCCAGTTCCTCCATATCCCAGAGCCCAGCATCCCTGCAGAACTGTCCCTGGTTAGAGCTGGCAGTGGGGTGGCACCAGCCATGGTATCCCAGGGGGGCTCTGCACTGAAGCCCTTGCCTGGTTCCCTCACAATGCTGCTTCCCTCCCCTTGTTTCTCTTCCCCTCCCTCCCCTTCCCCTCCCCCTCCTCTTTTTCTCCCTTTCCTTCCTCCCCTCAGAGCTTGCCTCCAACTTCCTTTGTGCTCCCTGCAGAGGCCAAGGTTCCCGATGGCCAGGCTGGCCATGCAGGGGACAGTGAGGAGGCATGTGAAGGAGGTGGCCTGGGGGGGGGGGGTGCAGGCCCTGGGAAAGGAAGAGCTGAGTGGGGCTGTGTGGGCGGTGGGAAGAACCAGGGGCAGAGCCGGGAGAGCAGAGCCAGTCCCAGGTACTGCTGATGGCCTGGGCACCCAGAGACACTTTCACTGCTTGAGCATGCTCCTTGCTTCCAGGCGTTTTGAAAGAGGAAATGGGGCTAGGAAAATGGGCTGATCCCGGCCAAGAGGGTCCCTTGCTGGACTGTCACGTGCTGTGTCGGGAAGGCAGTCCTGACTTGGAAGAGGCCCGAGAGGGCAGGGCAGGAAAGGGAAGCAGCTGAACTGACTCTGAGCTTCCAAGAGAGCTGAGGCCAGGCCTTCGCCTTTCCCTGTGCGTCTGGGATACAGGCTCAGAAGGGAGTTGCCATCTGTCCCCAGGAGCCATGCACCTGCTGGGTCCAAAAGGGGAGAAGGCAGGGTGTGTCGGCTGCAATGATGGCACCCTGGAAATGGGTCACTTGAGGGACTGGAGTGATAGAACAGTGGGTGGGATGCTTGCCCTGTTCAATCCTCAGCACTCCATATGGTCCCTGAGTCTGCTAGGAATGATTCCTGAGTAAGGCCTGAGCACCTCCAGGAGGGAGGGAGGAAGGGAGGGAGATAAAGAGGGAGGAAAGGAAGGAGGAAGGAAGGAAGGAAGGAAGGAAGGAAGGAAGGAAGGAAGGAAGGAAGGAAGGAAGGGAAGGAAGGGAGGAAGGAAGTTGTCTTTTGGTGTATTTATCCAGGTGAGGGCCATACTGACCATTGAAGAGCTTTGCAGTGGCCAGAACAAAGTAGACCCTTCGGTGCCAATCCACTGTGGGCAGTGGTTCTACTGCTGCTTGCAAACAGCTGGGGCAGCTGAGTGGGCTGGGCTGGGTGCAGAGTGGGGAAAGGGGGGCTGCAGGTCTCAGGATGCCTTATGGCTGTGGGAGAATTTCCACTTCAAAGCCTGCGTGGACGCCCAGTTTGTGGGCTGACAGAGACCCTGGAATCACCCCTCTGCTGCCCTTACTACAGGCTTCCCATCTGCCAATGTAGGAAGGAGGGGGCAAACCACATTCAGCCCGCCTGTCTGCTGAGACATTGTTTTCAGAATGTCAGACAGTCGCTCTTTTGCAGTTCCCCAAAGAGAAGCCCTTGAGTTTGTCAAGCCTGGGCCAGGAATCCCATTACTGGAAGTGCTTAGCAGGTCTCAAGTTTACTGCGTGAATGAATGAGGGACTTGATGACTTGAAAATTTCACTGGAGCTTTCCCTTCAAATCCTAAACCATGCAGGAGCTGCCACAATAGCTCATCAAACACGGTTAGGAGGAAACTGGCCTCCCACTCGCAGGCCCCCACCATCACTCACTGTCACATTTTCCCGAGCCACAGCTGGAGCTGAGGTGCAGGAAGTTGTGGTCAGAAGCCTGAGGCCTCTCCATGGACTGCCTTTTTGCTCAGGGCTCCTCTCAGGGTGCAAGGGAGGTTTCATGGCCTTGGGAAGCCGACGTTACAGGGCTGGGAGAGCCATTACGGGCACCCAGACAGTGTAAACGTGGCCCTGGCAGAGTTTGCCAGCCAGAGCCAGCAGACAAACATGGCAGCCATCCCCTCGCAAGCTCTTGAAGTTCTTTCACAAGCTGCGTTACTTTTCACAAGTGTAGTTGGCTCTCTTTGCACCCAAGATGAGCTGGCAGGGTCACCCTCGGTAGCAAGCATGGCCTCGCCCAAGGGCTGAAACATTCCTGCCCCCTCATTTAGCATTGCACGAAAGCAGAGAAAGTGAACTTTTTCCAGAGTGCCAGCGCTGTTTTCCAGTACATCTCATCCTGGGTTGGGGCGCCAGAACCCTAATCAGTGAAGCTGAGCTAGAGGCCTTTTTGCCCCACCACCCTCTTTCTCAGTACCCCAAAACCCTGGTCTCCCAAGAGGGAAAGGATGATGGCAAGAAGGCATGAGGGAAGCCAGACTGCCCCACGCTCTCCCCAGCATCCCCTGCGTGTCTTATGTTTCCTGTGTGAGTACTAAGAGATCATTCAGGAGTTTGGGCATGTGCTTGCATGTGTGGGACCCCAGTTCACTCACTGGTCCCTCATCACCAGGTACAGCCCTGGTGGTCTACGATGCCGCAGAACTGGAGTAGCTCTGCACTGTTGGGCCAGAACCCTGCCCAGTGGGACATGGTTGGCTGAGGAGAATGGCTGGGAGAAATCCTGGTACCCCTGCTAAACACCACTGGGGAAGACTCCCACCAAAATTAAGTGTCCTGGACCAAAGAGATAGCGCAAAGGTTAAGGTGCTGACCCAGGTTTAATTCCCTGTACCGCAAATGGTCCTCTGAGCACAGAGCCAGGAATAGCCCCTAACCATGGCTGGGTGTGACCCCCAAACAAAAATCTCCTGAGTGACCAGCTAGGATTCCCACCCCTATCCTGCCATGAATAATCTGACCCAAGTAATGGAAATTTTATCTTCAGTGAGGCTTCTGTCAAACACCTCTATCGGGCAGAGTTTTTCACAGGTTCTAACTCATTTCTCTACCTCCTGGGGGATGCTTGGCTCGCATGGGATTCTTTATCTGCTGAGTATTTACACGAGTATCGTGTTGGAGTAAGGGAAGGTGGTGAGCAGAAAACTGAACCGCCCAAATGGTTCGTACCACAGCCCGTGGATCTGCATTCATGCTCCAGGGGGTAGGAAAAGAGATGGCAGAAACTGGTTCCGTGGAAGATTGAGATTGGGGGGGATTAGCCTGGTTTCTCTGGTAATCCCAGGGAGTCGGAGAAATAGACGTGATCAAGAACCTTGAAGGAAAAGGACAGGCCCACAAGCCTGGGGTTACAGGAGGCCTCTCGAGGTGGAGAAAAACAAGAAGTTTCTCCCCTAGAACTTGAGAAGGTACCTCTGGTTTTGACCTTGAAAGGCCAAGTTTTGATCCTGTCTGACACCCAGAACTGTAGGACGACAATTTTGTGTTCATTGGAGAATTTGTCAATGGAATAAGCATCTGTGAGTGCCTCTCTGATGTTACCCTGGACTTAGGAGTCACACTGTGGCCTTGTGTGGGGGAGTACCAGCCCACGTCCATGCGGAACAATGGGCTCCTCGGCTGGCTCAAGTGTGCTTCTGGTCACATGGAAGTGAGCACCACCCGGGGCCCGAGATGGTTAAGCTCAGCAGTGTTTGGGCCTGGTCTCTCTCGCCAGCGCCCAGGGGTGCTGAGACTGGCCTCTGGGTAGTTCACTCCTGTCCAGCAACCCTTCTTACCTCTAGTTGCCAAACCCCCAGGTACCCAGGGAAATTGAAGGGCATAGCAACTGAAACGCTACACACAAGCATGAAGGGCTGTAGTGCTGCAGTGACGGCTCATGTACATTCCTAGAGACTCTGTCTTCTCATTAACTGCCCTTGGCCCCAGGCAGTGGGTCAGTGGTGGGGTCTTTGGCCATGGATGGAAAGCTCTAGCAAGCCCCTCTGTAGAAATTTCAAATTTTCTACAGAGAAGATCAAGAATGGAGCTTCCCAGGCCAGCTGGGCTGTGAGCCTTGTCCAGCAGGGCAGGCTGCCCATGAACACGTGGATGTCTCAGAGACCTGTGTCTGTGTGTCTGTGTTTGCTTTGCCGTTCACTGGGGACGGGATGGAGGACAGATGGAGGAAGCGGCTCACCTTCTGTTACAGGAAACTGCTCTCTGAGCCGCGCCCACCCCACCTACTCGTGGACACTCATCCCAGCAGACAACAGCCGGGCTGGACCCAAAAATGCACTTGGAACGCGGGGATTGCTTTCACTTCTATTAACTCTTGGAAAAGAATTTGGGGAAGAGAAGAGCCAATAATTCTCCTTATCTAATCCAGAGTCAACATTTGGAGGGGAATGGCAGAGAGAGGCCTGATCGGCTCTATTCTTAGACCTCAGAGAAACGGTGTCCTTTTCCCAGCCCTGCCCTGAAGTGCACTTCTAAATTGGTCACCTTCCCTCACTTTCTTCCTCAAATTGTCCCCACTCAGGCAGCCAGAATTAGAAGGTGAGTGTAGCATTGCCTGAGAGGCGTGGCTCCCTCTGACTTGAGGTATTAAAGTTTCTGGGCTGTATCAGGCCGAGGAGAAGCCAGAGAACAGCTTATAGACTGACAGATCCGTCCTTTCTGTGAAGGGAAGACCAGGAACTGGGGGACATCTCAGCCTCACCCCACTCCCTGCCTCCCCTCCTTTCCTCTGCTTTTTCCAGAGAGAGGCTGGGGGCCCCTCAGAACACCTCACAGCTTCTGCTTCTCCTCAGGCTCCCGTGCAATGGCACACTGGGCTGAGGACTTGGTGCTCACCCACAAGGAGTGGCCATTGTCTTCTCTGTCTGCCATTCTCAGCTGCCCTTGGCTTTCAAGGAGTGGCCATGGGGGCCAGAGCAGCATGAAAAGCTGGGAAACACAAAAGCATCCCCACCCTGGCAGCACACTTCCCTCTCTCCCCACCCCCACCCCACATCCGCCCTTCTAGCAGCAGGGAGGGGCCATGGAGGTGAGTTCAAGAAGAGTGAGTGGGAGCGTGTTTGCAGAAAGAGGCGCTCTCTTCCAGGAAATATGCCTTTGTTGGGGAGGGCTGGTATGCACCACCTCAGCCCCCCACCCCTCCAGCACAGTGCAAGGTCACCCAGGCACTTCTCTGGTTGTGCTTCCTGGCCCCCATGGTCCCCAGGGTCATGCTCAGAGATGGGGTGTTTAGGTGACAGAACTCAGGACCAAGGCCCTCTCCCTTTCCCACAAGGCCACTTACTTCCCCAGCCTCCCAGGTATGTTTTGTGAGAGAAACTAGACTTTGAGGGCGTGACCCCATCTCTGTTCTCCTGCACCCCTGGCACTAGAGTTTTGGTACTTTTCAGAGAAAGCCCAGGACCCTCTGCCCGGGGTCCCTCCAGCCCTGTGGGCTTGAGGTTTGGAACTGTCCTAGTTTTAGCTAGGAGAAACCGGAAGCTGTCTCCTTCAGAAGGAGAAATAATCCCCCTGGAAATAATCTCGCTGGTTGGGAATGAGTGTGAATTTGGAAAGAACCAGAGTGCTCCCCGCGGTGAAACCTGACCCCACTTTAGAGGAGGAGGAGCAGAGAGAAGGTGCTTTCCAGTCCCCCTGCTGGCCCTTTGGGTCAGAGCTGACTTGAGTTTCCAAAGATTGGAAATGTGAGTCAATCCTGGGACCTCCCCAGCCCCGGTGTGGCCCTTGTCAGTACAGAGAGGAAAGAACTCAAAGTAACAGGAGCGGAGGGTGGGGAGGGAGATGGAAAGGGTAGGGCTGGGAAGGGTGGGTCTACTTGCTCCTGTGCACTCATTTCCGGGGGGGAGGGGGCTTTTAAAAAAATTTTTGTTTGATTGTGTTTGGGTCACACCCAGCTATGCTCAGGGGTTACTTCTGATTCTGCACTCAGGACTTACTGCTGGTGACGCTTGGAGGATCACAGGGAGAAACCAAGGATCTGAACCCACAAGACAAGTGCTCTGCCCACTGCATTATGGCCCTGGCCCTTTCTGGCCAAGGAACACAGATACCCCCCTTGGAGCTTGAGGGTCTCATCTAAGCACCCTCTGAAACCTACCCCAAGGACCGGTTTCATGGCAGGACTCATGGAGGCAGCCCTTCCTTTGCATGATAGACCATAAGCTCAGGGTGGGGGGTGAGGGAGCTCCCACTGCTGCTCCAGCACTTACATTTCCTTCCGCATCTGCTGCCTCGCTTCTGCAGATGTCACTGGATGTCCATGAGCGTCCCATGGGTGCAAAGCCCTCACAGTATGAAAGTCTGGGCTGAACCCTGTCCTAATGGGGTAGAGCTTTGGAAAAGGAAGAAGCGGGTGGCTGTGGCTGCCTGGGTGGGCTCACTGCTGAGCTGTGTGGGAACCAGGTGGGGGGCTCACGTACAGCTGTGAGGTAGCTGAAAATGGGCTTCCTGCAGGGCAGGCCTTTGCCTGAGTTTGCCCAGAACCTTGGGGTCCCCGAAACCTGTGCTACAGAGCCCCAAAGGGCAGTTCATGGGATGCGATGTGCTGGTCCGAATTGTATTGAGTGGCTGAGGTTTATCAAAGCTTAATACAGTAGATGGCCTTTTTGATTTTCCTCCAATGACAAGACGCTAAGACTAGCTGTTTCAGGCACTCCCCGCCCCGAGGATCATGAGGTCGTTGAACAGGGAGGAATGGGAAATACCTTCTCATATTTTTCCATTTGAAATCAGGCACAGGCTTTCATGGATTAAAAGTGTTCTAATTTTAAAGAGATTTAAAAATCAAATATCTTGATAAAATACATTTGGTTTTAACTCTGAGAGCTTTAGTGTTTGGGGCTTTGGGCCTCCCAAGTTGTGCTCTGGAGCCCAGAGGCCTCAGGAGTGATTCTCAGCCTGTCAGACCTAATGCTGGTCAGGCCTGGTGGTGCCTGGATGCCCCAGGCTGTCCCTGTAGGGCTCGGGGGTCGTATGGTGTGGGGGTAACCAACCCAAGACAGACACTTGCTGGGCATGCGCACTAATCTCCTTACTATCTACCAGGACTTGAAAACATTCTTTTTTTTTTAATTTTTAAAAAAAATGTTATTAGTGAAACACCATGAGGTACAGTTGTAGACTTACAATTTTTTGTGCTTGGGTTTCAGTTATACAATGATCAAGTACCCATCCCTCCACCAGTGCCCATTCTCCACCACCACGGGTCGCAGTATCCGTCCCACCCCCCATCCCCCCATCCCCCCAATCCCACCCTGCCTCTGTGGCAGGGCATTCCCTTTTGTTCTCTCTCTCCTTTTGGGTGTTGTGGTCTGCAAAAGAGGCATTGAGTGGCAATCATGTTTGGTCTATAGTCTACATTCAGCATGCTTCTCCCATCCTGGGAGGATCCTCCCAACACCCTTTATTTGGTGCTCCCTTCTCTATCTGAGCTTCCTTTTCCCCCTAGCACGTGTGGCTGGCCTCCAAGCCATGGAGCAAAATTCCTGGTACTAAGCTCGGCCACTCTTGGGTGTTAGTCTCCTATTTTGTTACTTTATGTTCCCCAGATGAATGCAATCTTTCTATGTCTGTCCCTCTCTTTCTGACTCATTTCGCTTAACATGATACTTTCCATGTAGTACCACTTGTCCGGTTGTCAAAACTGGGGATAATGCGGATTCATATATACCACTTCCACCTTTGCAATCCTTAGATCCAAGCAAGTGGTGGTGGGATCAGGTGTCAGGGCCCCTCCAGCTTTCCTGGCACATGACAGCTCTGTGCTTCCCAGATCAGGAATCTTCTGTTTTTGTTTGGGGCCACACCCAGCTGTACTCAGGGCTTACTCCTGGCTGAGCTCAGGGATCACTCTTGGTGGTGTTTGGGGTGCCCGAGGCCAAATCAGGGTTCCTCTGCAGCAAAGGAACCAGTTTGTTGCTGGGACTAGTTCTGGGGAAACAGCACAGCAGGAGACCGGAGCTGGCCACAGAGGGTCTGGCTAGTCCATGGCAGATAACGACAGGACTGGGTTCTGCCCGCTGCCACAGTGCTTTGACTCTGTACCAGTTGGGGTATGTAGATGACAGCACCAGTGGCAGAATTCTTCAGAGCCACAGGGAGAACTGCCAGGGCCCTGTGCTCAGCCCAGCGGAAGGGCCAACCCCCTGAGCTGAGTCTTATCTGGGCGCAGTTGTTTCACCTTAGAGAGGGGCCCAATGGCCTGTGAGGAGGGGAATCTGCCTAATCCAGCCTGTGTGCATCTCTTACAGCGTCATCAGTTACGAGTGCTGTCCTGGCTACGAGAAGGTCCCAGGAGAAAAGGGCTGTCCAGCAGGTGAGTGAGCCAGGCTTGTGGGCCTGGAGGGTGGGGAGAATCGGGAAACAGATGCACCCCCGGAAGACAGCAGCCCCCCCCCCCCCCCCCGTGTGCAGTCTCTGGGCTCTGTGGCAGCTGAGGAGGGAAGTTCCCAGCTGGTGTCCTGCTATGCTCCTTCCTACAGCAGCCTCAGTGAAGCTGGTGGAGCAGCCCCTGGCTCTCCCCTGCCTGCTCTCTCTGTCCCCCGACCCAGCTTCTGGCCTGACTAGCGCTGACTGGGAGAGATTCCCAAGGGCCCCTGCGTTTCTGAGCAGGTAGTATCGGCTCAGTCAGGCCTGGTCTGACTCTCCACAGTAGTCACACAACAGTGGTGCGTGGCCCTAGGAAGATGTCAGGAAGGGATATGGCTGGCCAGGAGTCTTGCCCAGTGCCTAGGGAGGGTACCAGAAGTGACTGGTCAGGCTCTCACCTTTAGCCCCACCTAGGACTTGTGACAGAGTCTTGGCAGTACGTCCAGAGTCATATGAAGGCTTACAGTGAAATGCTCGCTATTGTGTTTGAGGATGGGAGACAGAGTCAGGAAAGGAAGGTCTCAAGGAGGTAGTGGGTGGCATTTGTGGGAAAGATGGGGGCAAGGGAGTGGGGAAGGGAGATTGGCTCCACACACATCTCTAAAAACTGTGTCCAGGGGCTGGAGCGATAGTAGCACTGTAGCACTGTCCTCCCGTTGTTCATCGATTTTCTTGAGCGGACACCAGTAATGTCTCCATTGTGAGACTTGTTACTGTTTTTGGCATATCGAACACGTCAGGGGTAGCTTGCCAGGCTTTGCCATGTGGGCGGAATACTCTTGGTAGCTTGCTGGGCTCTCCAAGAGGGGCGGAGGAATCAAATCTAGGTCGGCCACGTGCAAGGCAAACGCCCTACCTGCTATGCTATTGCTCCGGCCCGGAGCGATAGTACATTTGATAAAGCTTTTGTCTTGCAGACATAGCCGACCGGGATTCAACCCCTGGAACCCCAGATAGTCAGTCCCCCGAGCCCTACCAGGAGTGACCCCTGAGTACAGAGCCAGGAGTAGGCCCTGAGCACCACCAATGTGACCCCCGACAACACTAATACATAAATAAATATAAATAAAATGAACACCCAGCTCATTGTGTGAGGGGGATGGCCATTCTAGGCTCCTAGAATAACATTTTAAATATGATTTCACAAAGTGCCATAAATATCATGAAGTTCTTTCTTCCTGATACCACCATTGGGAGGGAGCTATTCCCAGCCTCCAAGTGCATTTGTCAGGCTGGTCTGAATGAGGGGCCTGGTTCTGGCGTACGCCCTGACCGCTGCCCCTGAGTGGATGTGAAGTGGAGCTGTGCCCTGCCATGGCTCCCACCACACTGGGCTCGCACCACACTGGGACTCCGGGGCGGTTCGAAGAAAGCAGCCACGGTTACTGGGAGATAGTACAGCATGCCAGGAACATGCCTTGCATATGGCCTGCCCTGGTTTGATCCCTAGCAGACCTATCATGGTCCCCCGAGCATCTCCAGAACTGATTCTTGAGTGCAGAGCCCAGAGTAACCTTGCCTTGGGTGTAACCAAAAATACTTTATTAAAAACAGCGTGGCACAGGCTCACACTCTTTACCACAGATGGATGGACGACAGACATGCCAGGCAGACTGACAGAGGGTGTGGGTGGGGTCTAGCTGGAGAGGGCCGTCAGCTCCATCCTGCCTCTCTTTCTCCTGCCCGGGCAGCCCTGCCACTGTCAAATCTTTATGAGACCCTGGGAGTCGTGGGCTCAACCACCACTCAGCTGTACACAGACCGCACGGAGAAACTGAGGCCCGAGATGGAAGGGCCTGGCAGCTTTACCATCTTTGCCCCCAGCAACGAGGCCTGGGCAGCCCTGTCAGCGGTGAGACACCTCTTCCTCTGCTGTCATGGCCATCGCGGGGCCTATCTTGGGGGCTGCATGGTCACAGGGGATGGGGGACCCGAGGGGCAGGGCATAGCATGGAGTGCTCGGGAAGAGCCAGGGCTTAGTTGGCTTCCCAGGGTGGCCTCTCAAGGGCTGGGGTCAGCATCCCCCTGCTCACAATCCCGCCCTTTCAGGAAGTGCTGGACTCTCTGGTCAGCAACATCAACATCGAGCTACTGAACGCCCTCCGCTACCACATGGTGGACAGGCGGGTGCTGACGGACGAGATGAAGCACGGCACGATCCTCACCTCCATGTACCAGAACTCGGGCATCCAGATCCACCACTATCCCAATGGGGTAGGGAGCCCCCACCCTCAGCAGGGCCCGCTGGCCTACTGTCCTCCCCTCTGCCCTGCACCCACGGGTGGGGGCTGGGTTTTGGTGTTGATCTTGCAATTCAGGTCGAAAGACGGATGTTGGCCTCTGTCCCCTTGGGTCCTCTCCCCCTCTTCTTTCCCTCCCCTCTCCCCATGTTCTATCCTCTCCCGGGCCTGCATCACACCTGGAACCCATCACCCCCTCACCTGCCCCTGTTTGTCACCGGGCAGATTGTCACGGTCAACTGCGCCCGGCTGCTGAAGGCTGACCACCATGCCACCAACGGTGTGGTGCACCTTATTGACAAGGTCATCTCCACCACCACCAACAACATCCAGCAGATCGTGGAGATCGAGGACACTTTTGAAACCCTGCGGGTGAGTGGGCACATGCGGCCTCCCGAAAGAATGTCTCCATGTTGGCAGCATCCAGGGGACGTCAGCAAGTTTCCTGGAACGGCCCAGGCAGGAGGAGGATCCACTGGTTGGTCGTGGCTCCGCCCAGTGCTCCTGGGCCTGTCCTGGTCCCATGCCTTTACTTCCCTGGCTTGCTGGGAGTGCTCAGTGGTTTCCTTTTTTGTTTTATTTTGGGCCACACCCAGCGATGCACAGGGCTTATTCTTGGCTCTGCACTCAGGGATCCCTCCTGGCAGTGCTCAGGGAATCACTTGTAGCACCAGCTTTGAACCTGGGTCAGCTGCATGCAAAATAAACTGTGCTTTTCACCTCTGTGCTTTCTCTCCTGCCTCTCAGGATTTTCTTGCTGCAGGAGGCAGAGTACTAGGAGTCCTGGGTACAAGAGGCTATCTTGGGGTTCCAGAAAGTGGAAGGGCCCTTCCTCCCACACATGTGAGACTTTAGGACGCTTGGGTGCCTGCCACAGGACCCCCAACTATTGCAGGAGCCAGACCCATGTGTCCTTGGAACCCAGAGCAGAGGAAGCCCCTGTTGTGATCCCAGGGGTTTGGGGGCTGGACTTCCAGTGGGCTCTGGGGCTCCTGGGCCTCCCCGTGCCCAGAACCATCTGTCTCCCAGCAGACAAAGCAGGGAGCGGGGGCATACCTCTTGGCTCTGTCAAGGGGGGAAGTGCGAGCCGCTGCCCTGTCAGGGGTTTTGCTCTGGTTCCGGGAAAACTTCCTGACCACAGGATACTAAGTGGGAGGGCGGGTTCCTCCCCTGGAGATCTCCAACACAGAGCGGCAAACATGGGCCAGCCTGGCACTGACGAGATGCAGGATCCTAGCTCTTTCCCTCCCCTGCTTTCCTTTTTATTTTTTTTTAAGTAGTTATGTCAATTTTTTCCCCCTGCCCCTGCCTTCTCTTCTCTGGGGTCTGTAGGCAGTGGAGTCCCAGCAAGTTGGGGGCACGTCTGGACTATCAGCCATTGATCCCCACAGAGCAGCCTCCTTTCACCATTGCAGTTGAGCAAACTCCTTTCCCTTCTTCCTTTTTGGCCCCCCTTGCACCCTTTCCCCTTAGCACACACATCCTTGTCTAGTGCTAGCTAGTCCCCCTAAGTGGCCACAGCACAGACACACTGCCAGTCTTCACTCGCCTCAACCTGGGGAAACAGACGAGAGCCATACCGGCAGGATGGCCTTTGACGGTCACTGAAATCTGTGAACAAGAGTGAGGCAGGTGAACAGGGACCAGGCGCTAGGTCAGGAACAGACCCTCAAGACACGATGGCTTTGGAGCTGAGGATTGGGGAGACCAGGCAGAGGAAGGGACAAAAGGAAAGGCCCAGAAGCAGACTCGGCAGATGGAAGGCACCTGGTGTCAGAGGGAGGAGCACACAGACAGAAAAAGAGGAAAAGCTAGCTTGCAAGCCTGGGTAATGGGCTGCGTCTCCTCAGGTATGGCAGGGGAACAGGTCCATGTCAAGCTGCCTTCCTTGCTTTGTCAAGGCCCTGAAAAAGAACAGGAGTCAGAGGAGCAAAGGGTGGGGTGGAGGCTGGGGTCAGAGGGCAAAGGCAGGCAGTGGGCAGGAAGGAGCTAGGGACTGAGAGGCATCCACGTGGCTTGGCGCTCAGATACATAAAGACCATGGTGGTTGCCATGAGACGGGATCTGGGTCAGGAGACGGAATACCTGCCTCTGCTCTCCCCCCAGGCTGCTGTGGCTGCAGCGGGTCTCAACACAGTGCTCGAGGGAGATGGCCAGTACACTCTCCTGGCCCCCACCAATGAGGCCTTCGAGAAGATCCCCACTGAGACCTTGAACCGGATTCTAGGCGATCCAGACGCGCTGAGAGGTGAGCGCCCCCTGCTGGGAGTGGCCAGACTGAGCCCGAGGCCCCTTGGGCCTCTCAGATAGGCCCACCTGCCCGCCTGGCCCCTGGCTCTTCACCAGCCCTCTGTGGCCCTGCAGAGCCCAGGGTGAGCCCCATCTGTGGGCAGGATGGAGTTAATCCACCTTTGCAGACCCAGCTGCACTGAGGAAGCAGCCAGAGCTGGAGGCCCAAAGCAGGTGCTGGCCAGACTCAGGGAGTATTAGAGGCCCATGGGTGCAGCTGGGCTGCAGCTCAGAGCCTGGGGGAGAAGGAGCAGACACCTGCATGCTGGAAGTGGAACCCCCACCGCCCCTCAAGCCTGGGCCTTATGGGTCACATGAGATGCAGTAACACCTGTAATCTTTGGGCTCGTGGAGGCCTTTCAGGGCTCATGCTTCACGTGTAGGAGGCCCTGAGTTCTAAACCCAGTACTCCATTGCCTCTGTCTCCCAGGAAATGTGTAACAGACAACTCCTGTTTTGTTTGTTTGTTATTGCGCCATACTCCGTAGTGCTCAGGACTTCATTTTGGCTCATCACTCTGAGGGCCAGGAAGGGCCCGGGGTGGGGACCAGATGTGGTGCCTAGAATTGAATCTGGGTCATCCACACGCAAAGACAAGTGCCTAAACTCATATATTACCTATTTCATTTGGAACAAGAGCCCTCACCCAGGGCTGTTGCCACAGGCTGGCATCAGAGTGCCCAGCCCGGCGCCCCTTTGGACAGCCGACTTCCGGCTCTGGCTGTGCTTCTCCAAGGCCCAGCAGGTTACTCCTAGCTCTTCTTTCCCCCACTTTCCTGTCCCGAGAAATGAGTGTCCCTCAAAGCAGCGGTCAGCTGTGTGGGGGCAGTGTCTCAGGCTGTCGGTACTTCTGGCCACTTCCTCTGTGTGGGGAAGTAGGGCTCCAGATCCCACACACAGCTGAAACTCAGAACGAAACTTGTCTCAGTTTAGGGCCAGGAGCCCTGGGGGCAGTAGCCAGGGCCTTGCTGTGTCTAGCGGGGCCAGGATCACCCTCTGGGTGGCTCCTTGTCCTTTACCCAGTGCCTCAGCCCCTGCCTTGTCCCTCAATGGTGCCTGGATGCATAAATTCATGGATGTGCGATTTACAGACGTGGTGAGTGAGTGACTGAGACCAGAGGGACTGAATGCCACCCCCAGCCCTGGAGGCACTAGGTGACACAGACCTTGGCATCTGGGTGAAACAAACAAGCAGCAGTGTGCCCATAATTCGTCCCTTGATAGCATTCCATCTCTTCGACCATTTTTACAGAAGGTCAAAGCTCCTCGGATTAACTCCTTTTGAGGCTGGAGCGATAGCACAGCGGTAGGGCGTTTGCCTTGCGCGTGGCCAGCCCGGCCAAGATGGGTTCGATTCTTCCACCCCTCTCAGAGAGCCTGGCAAGCAACTAAGAGTATCTTGCCCTCACGGCAAAGCCTGGCAAGCTACCCGTGACATATTTGATATGCCGAACACAGTAACAACAAGTTTCACAATGGAGACGTTACTGGGCCTGCTCGAACAAATCAATGAACAATGAGAGGACAGTGTTACAGTGATACAGAGGTTTTCCCTTCTCCATGACCTTGGAGCACTTCCCAATGACAAATAGTTTCTCAGCATCTCCTCTGTTGTCAGGCTCTGTGCAGGGCTATAGATCTTCAAGGTTTAGTTTTTAATGGGGTGGTAGGAGCTCCCCTGAGTGATTCTCAGGGGTTAGGGGCCATTTGTAGTGAAAGTCTCCCCACTCAGTAGGTGTCCAGTGCTCAGGCCTGAGGGTGCAGTGCTGCTCAGACTGGCAGTGCCCTACCCCATCAGGGCTGGACCTGGGAATGCTGGGTGGGGGAGGGAGTGCATGTGGTGCCAGGGCATGCATATATGTCCCCCCTAATACTGTGCTGTCTGCCCTGAATTTCAAGCCATCTTTAAGTCAGCCTTAGATGATGAAATGAATTTTTTTCTTTTTTTTATCCTCGTTGTTACTGTGTTTGGCATATCGAATACTCTCGGTAGCTTGCCGGGCTCTCCGAGAGGGGCGGAGGAATCGAACTCGGGTTGGCCATGTTGGCCGCTTGTAAGGTGAACGCCCTACCGCTGTGCTATCACTCCAAACACAGTAACAACAAAGTCTCCAATGGAGATGTTACTGGGCCTGCTCGAGCAAATCGACGATTAACGGGAGGGCCTTTACCTTTACCTTTACCTTTTTATCCTCAAGTCACTGTGAGATACACAGTTAGAAGGCTGTTCATGATTGCGTTTCACTCATGCAACGATCCAACACTCATCCCTCTACCAGTGTCCATTTCCCACTGCCAATGACCCCTGCTTTCCTCCTGCCCACCCACCCCATGACTTTATGGCAGGCACTTTCTCTTTCTCTCTCTCTCCTCTCTCTCTCTCTCTCTCAATGAACGTAATTTTTTTTTTTTTGCTTTTTGGGTCACACCCAGCTATGCTCAGGGGTTACTCCTGGCTCTGCTTAGAAATCACTCCTGGCATTCCTTGGAGGAGCACTTGGGATGCAGGGAATTAAACCCAGTTCCACCGCATGCAAGGCAAACGTTCTACCCGCTTTACTGTTGCTCCAGCCCCTGAACACAAATTCTTATCTCTGCTAGATGAGGCTGTTGATACCCAGAGACTGAATGTCTTACCCAGAATCCACTGCTAGGACGCGACTGACTGGGGGAGCTCTGTGAGAGTCCCGTGGATTCCAGTGGGTGACAGGCAGGAAGGGAGGAGGACTTGGGCCCTGTGGAGGGGTGGCTGGAGGGACCCTCACCTACCCGCCCCCACCGTCATCCCTTCAGACCTGTTGAACAACCACATCCTGAAGTCGGCCATGTGTGCCGAGGCCATCGTGGCAGGGCTGTCCATGGAGACCCTGGGGGGCAACACGCTGGAGGTGGGCTGCAGCGGAGATATGCTCACCATCAACGGCAAAGCCATCATCTCCAACAAAGACATCCTGGCCACGAATGGCGTGATCCACTTCATCGACGAGCTGCTCATCCCAGATTCGGGTAGGTCAGGCTGCTCAGTGCGGTGAGGGGGAAGCTGGGGGCACGCCACAGCAGGTGTGGGGAGAGCTGTACAGCATCCCAACAGGCTCCTGGGAGGTCTGTGGGCACAAGCAGGCAGCAAGGGCCTCTGGCTGACCTCAGCATGTCCAAGCCAGCCCTGAGCACTGGCCCGGGAGAACTCGTTTCCAGCTCATGTGCTCAGCTCCCAGCCTCATTCAGATTTCCACGGTGGTCATCTGCCTGTCCGTGGAGGGATTTCATGGGCAAACAGCAAATGCAAGCCTCACTATTGTCCAGGCATGGAGATGCAGACAAGACTGCCTTCACCCCCAGCATGGACCGCGAGCGCCCCCACCACAGCTGTGGGTCGGGGGGCAGAGGCCGAGGCGCCCTGCCCTGCTCCTCCCACCCATGCAATTTTCTGGGCCACGGTTCCCCCGATGACACAAGCCCGCGGTGGCCCAGCGGTGTCCAGAAGGGCTGTTGACTTCACAGGGTGACATTCCTGCTGCTGCGTGTCACACTTCGGGCTGGACAAATGGTCAACGAAAACAGAATTTTTAACTTTTGAAACCCGTTTTGCTTTTCCCCCACAGCCAAGACTCTGTTTGAGTTGGCTGCCGAGTCTGATGTCTCCACCACCATGGACCTCTTCCGCCAGGCCGGCCTCAGCACTCACCTCTCCGGCAGTGAGCGCGTGACTCTCCTGGCCCCCCTGAACTCTGTCTTCAAAGGTAACCTGGGCGGGGAGAGGGGGCAGAGGCAGCTCTGTTGGTTTCCTTCTAACCATGCCACCGTACCCTCCACCACAGACTCCCCAATTTACAGCACCCCTTAGAATCTTAGCACTTCCACCCCCTCCGATGGAAACTCACGTGTGGCTTTGTCAGGAGCTGCTGCTATTGCATTTGGCAGAGCAGAAAATGCAACTGGGGGCGCTCAGTCCTCAGGTCACCTGCATTTCATCAGGATAGCAGAGCTGTCCCTCACCTTCTGAGCGTTGAGGTCTGTGGCCCGTGGGCTAGAACGGAGGTTGGAGTCAGGGTACAGCTCACCACAGCTATCGAGCGGGAACAAAAAGGGCCACATGCTCCTGTGTCACCCCATGCCAAACTCCAAGCATCCTCGGTTAGTTAGACTTTTTTGTTTGTTTTTGAATCAGAAGAAGACGGCAGATGTTAAGGAGGCTTGGCAGACCCCTCTGATTTCCCAATCCCCATCTGCAGATAAGGGGGTGGAGCTTTTTGCCCCATTCCCTGGCTGCGTGCACTTCTGCTCCCCGCCTTCCTTCCCCAGCTCATGCCTGGCCTCCTGCCCGCACCTTCTCTTGCAGATGGGATCCCTCCCGCGGATGCCCCAACTAAGAATTTGCTTCTCAACCACCTGGTTAAAGACCAGCTGGCCTCCAAGTACCTGTACCATGGGCAGACTCTGGATACCCTGGGAGGCAAAAAACTGAGAGTGTTTGTGTATCGGAATGTAAGTGCAAGGCCCTCAGCCCCAGTCCTTCAAGGTCTCAGCACCAAGGCCCAGAGCTGGGTCAGTGTTTCTGAGCTCCAAGCCTGGGGCTCCCTGGATGGGAGGGATTTGTGCAGAGTCTCTCTGAGGTCAAGCAGGAATCTGCGGAAGGATTCGCCTTTCCTGTTCTTTGTTGGGAAGGTCTTTGGGGAAGATCCACACCCCAGCCTAGGACAAGGGGGTCAGTAGTCCACCTGGAGCTCAGAGGAGAGGACAAAGAAGAGGGGAGGAGTTTGAATCCTTCACCTATGAGAGGAGAAGCCTCCTTCACCGACAAGGGCTAGAAAATAACCCAGTACATGTGTCTGGACCGCACTGGCCCCACTTGGCCAGATCACATTGTCACAAAATCAGCAGGCATCGTTGTTGTCACCAGGTCCACTCTCTTGGGGCCTCTGTGATGGTTCTTTCCAGAGAGACACTGTTTTTACCCCTTTGCTGGAGGAAATACAACATTTCCTCCCGCAGACCCACCGCAGTGTTCACGGATGTTTGTGAATGGTGCTGCAGACACACCCCAGGCATATCAGCAGGTCCTGCCATGGGGTGATGGGCCCTCTCTCTGACCCCTCCTGCCAGAGCTTGTGTATCGAGAACAGCTGCATTGCTGCCCATGACAAGAGAGGGCGCTATGGGACGCTGTTCACCATGGACCGGGTGCTGACCCCTCCCATGGGAACCGTCATGGATGTCCTGAAGGGTGACAGTCGCTTCAGGTAAGGCCACTGTCCCTCCCGTGAGCCCGTGTTGGGGCAGGGAACTGGGTGGGGCTGGGTGTCAAGCCCCCCTCTTACTCTGTGGTGCAGTGAATTTCAGGGGCATTGTTCTGACCTTGTGGGCATGACATGTGGAAGCAGTTTTCTTCTGTGTGTAGTCCCAACCATGAGGAACAGGGAGGAAAGTGAATTTTAAATTTGTTTCAGTTTAAAGTTTAATGAGGTCTGGGGGGCACCCCCAGCAGTGTTCGGAAGCTGTTCCAGGCTCTGAGCTCAGGAATCACTCCCTGACGATTCTTATGGGATACTGGGCATAGAGCCTGAGTCTGCCATGTGTCAGGGGATGCCTACCCACTGGACTGTCTCTGGCCCCGGGGCCTGTCTGTGTAGGGTCCTTTCCAAGCAGGCGGCTAGTCTCTGTTTCCAAGGCCGCTCAGTGCCAGGGATAAAACTCTGGGCCTTGTGCAAACAAAGTACTTGCTTTCTTTTCTGAGGCTTTTTAAACTTGTGTCCACTTACCAGCCCCTCCTTTTTTGTTTTTGTTTTTGGGTCACACCAATGGTGCTCAGGGTTTAGAGGATACTTGGGAGTACTGAGGACCAAACGCAGGTCAGCTGTGTTGCAAGACAAGTGCCTTAACCCTTTTACTTTCTCTCCAGCCTCTTGCAACCCTTTTTTTTTTAACAAAAGATATTTTATATGCCCCCAGGTGTATAAAATAGGTATAGAAACAATCACTGATAACATGTTCAACTTATTTTAAAACAAATATTCATGGGATCAGAGAGAATAGTACACAGGAAGGCGTTTGTCTTGCACGCGGCCAACCTGGGTTTGATCCCTGGCACCCCACATAGTTCCCAGAGCACTGCCAGGAGTGACTCCTGAGTGCAGAACCAGGAGTAAGCTGGGTGTAGGCCGCAAACAAAACAAAACCCAAAAAAATGTTTTCATGACCCCCTACATTCAGTTGTGATCCCATGATTTAAGAAGCTACGTGCTCTGCCTCTTGTGCTAACATCCCAGCCCCAGAATTGCTTTTTTTTTGGTCACCAAACTATAAGGAAAGCACCCAGCAGAGGGCACTGGTTTGGGGTGCTGTCTCACTGTCTGCAGTGTGGGCTTTCACCCCTTCTCACCCTACCCTACCCCACCCTGTTTCTCTCATTCCTCACTCTGCACCCTCCTCTTCAGCTGGCTGCTTCACCCCTAGGTGCTGTCCCTTGGTGTGTCTCCTTTGCATAGGTACCCAGGACACCACCCACCCTGGTTCTCCCAGGAATCCTCTGACCTCATCTACCTCTTTACCCTTGACCCTGACCTTTGACCTCTGGCTTCTGGCCAGTCAGCTGAACTTGGCCCCTGATGGCAAGAGCAGCTGCCTGGAACCTGCCCCTCTTTGTACCTGGATTGAGGGGTGGGCCTGCAAGCCCCGAGTGCCACTGCTCCACCCTGCCCCAAGCAGGTGACCCCCCACCCCCTGTGTCCACAGCATGCTGGTGACCGCCATCCAGTCTGCCGGGCTGACAGAGATGCTCAACCGGGAAGGGGGGTACACCATCTTTGCTCCCACGAATGATGCCTTCCAAGCCATGCCCCCGGAAGAACTGAACAAGCTCATGGGTAAAGAGGCCTGCTGCAGGATGCGCTCAACTGCTCTAAGCTAGGGGTCCCCCATTGTTCACAGATGGGTGGGTGTAGTGCAGGGAAGCGGCCAAGGGCGCCCTCCAGGAAGAGGGGCGCTGTGGAGGAGGGTCCAGGCAGCTGCACCAGAATCTGACCGGGGGCTTCCACACATCTCCGCCCCCCTCACCCCCACAGTTGCCCGCCTGTCTCTGATGGCATGTGGTCAAGGGAGAGTGTGTGTGTGAGGGGGGAGGGGTGTTCGGAGCCATCAGCTTCCCCAGGCCCCAAACAAGGCAGAGAAGGGCTGAGAGGAAGTGGACAGAGTCAGGCCAGCACTGCAGCTGATTGCCAATGACAGTGGGACTGTCTCTCAGGAGGGGAGACGTTGCCCTTGACCGGCTTGGGGCTCTGGAAACTCAGCCATGGAGAAGCCAGAGAGGGGGTGAGAATGTGCGCTCCCGGATGACCTGAAGACTCCAGCCCCTCCAACCCCGGCTCTGCCACTTCCACTCTGAGTGGCCTCTCAAAAGTCATTTGTCCCCTGTGGACTCAGTGTCCCCCTGTAGAAAATCATGCGTAGGAGCACGGAGGCCCCTGGGTTGGAGGACTCGGGGAGCACTGGGAGGTGGCTGGGTGGACTGTGTACAGGGGCTTGCACATCTTCAAGAGACCTGGCTGCCCCCCAGGGAAGCTGGGCCTGAGGAGGAGGCTGTGGATGGCCCTGGACCAGGCGGGGCCAAGCTCACCCATGTCTCCTCCCCCTTGTGTCAGGAAAGAGAAAGCTTGGCTGCTGAGCTGAACTGAGGTCACGTTTCCTTTTCTTCCTTTGTTAGCTGCTCCTCCAGCCTCTATTCCCGAGAGGAGGGGAGACAGACATTTGCTCTGAGCACAGGCCTTCCACTGTCCCCTGTCCAGCAGGTTGGAGTGTCCCGCAGGCCGGTCTCAAGCCAGCTTGTCTTGCCTTTCCTTGTCTGGGATATAGAACCTTATTCAGGCTGAGTGCAGCGCCAGACCCCACCACACTAAGGGCATGGAGGGGGGTCCAGACAGGAAGGAGCAGGCAGGAAGGGGCCCCTTCACACCCCCTCCTCCCCTCCAGCAGTGGTGTTTTTATAGGGCAGCTCCTGTAGGCTGCAGGTTGTGTGGATCAGGGCGTCCCTGGGCACCGGGGCTTCAGTCCTCAGGTACTCAAGTAGATCAATAACCTGCAAGCAGCCAAACAAGGGGGCTTTCCAGAATGCTCTCCCCCGCTCACTGGGCGCACTTCCAGGATCCTGGAAATAGCCACACTGCGGGGGCCCCGAGGACATGCAGCCCTGAAAGTGATGATGGGAGCGGCAAGGGCAGCTGGCCGCGTCCAGAAGTGCCTCCCACACTTCATTTAGGAAATGCCTGTGCACCTTTATGAGCAATCGCCTGCTCTCCCCAGTTGGTGGAGAGGCTGATATGGGATGGAAGGAATGCGGAGAGGGCCGGGGAGGCGTTCCCCCACCGCCCCCCCCACCCCCCCACCCCCGCGGCCCTGACCTCATTGGCTCCACCACTCCTCCAGAGCACAGCTGTTGACTCTTTCAAGTCCTCCCTTCAGGAAACAGCCGTCTCGAAATATGCATTTGAGGGCAGAATGTGTAAATATTTCACTACTGTGTTATAACTGTCGGGAGCCACGCTGATGATGAAATGTCCCAGATGCCGGGGCTGGAAAGGTCCCCAGCTTTCCAGGCAAATATTTAGCTCATGGAAACATGAGTCACCCAGAGAAGTATGGATTAACTCCTTCTCTGTATCACGGAGAGCACGCACTGCACTAAGCAGCCCCCCAGCTCCAGGCCAGATCAGTGACAGGGGCCCTGAGTGCTGTACAGACAGTGGGTTTGAGGGTTGAGCAAACTGGAGGGGCTCAGGAGTGCTTGGGGGCTGTGTGGGAACTGCCACCCTTGAGCCCGCAGGGTGCCAGCCTGGCAGTGAAGTTCTACCTCCTTTTCTCACTACCCCGCAGGCAATGCCAAAGAACTTGCCAACATCCTGAAGTACCACATTGGTGATGAAATCCTGGTCAGCGGTGGCATCGGAGCCCTGGTGCGGCTGAAGTCCCTGCAAGGTGACAAGCTGGAAGTGAGCTCGGTGAGTCCACGGGATGGTACAAAAACTGACCTAGCCCAGCTCTGGGACTCCCAGGTCCATCTCAGCCACGATGGCATCATACACACACACACACACACACACACACACACACACACGAATGCACACACGCACAGTCTTCAGGGCACTTTTTTGGTCTCTGAATGTATTTTTTAACCAGAGAAAGAGAAAAGGGGGAAGTCCATTAAGATGTAGGTTAGAAACTCCAGACTGGCTAACTCATAAAGCATATAGTTTGGCATCTGGAAGAGGCTATTAGCTCTACTTTCCCTTAAGTAGAGCATAGGAAACTACTTGTGTATTGAGAGATACATCCTTACCACACATAGAGATACACACACATACACACACACACACATACACACACCTGCCTCCCATTGCCAAACTCAGGACCTTCCTGTGCTATGAGCCATTAGCCCCAACCCAGTCTATGTGCAGCCCTTGCTCTGTGCATTGATGATGCAGGAAGCATCTCAGAGGGCTTTTGCCTTGAAGAGAGAGAACAGTGTACCTGTGCACTCTGCAGAGCCTCCTGGGCACTTAGCTGTTCCAGCACAGGTCTCCACAGCAACCATACTTGCTCCTGCTCCTGACCTCTCGTACCCTCTGCCCTGCAGTGCCTCTCGACTGTGGAAAGTGTGGTGGGTGCGAAGCGGCACTGGGATGTGAATGGTAGCTTTGACATCTGTGCACCCCCTCAAGAGGCTTACAGCTCCCCAATTTAGGTGTCAGGGTCCCATGTGCCACAGGATGTGGTTTCCCCTTCCCCTTCAGTCTCTTAGGAAGGTTCCAGAAGGTGTGAGAGAGATTGACCCTGCAGGGGCTTCCTGTCAGGAAAACATCTGCTGGACAAGACGTGGATAAACCCAGGTGTGGGACCTGGCCTCAGTCCCCCAACTCCCACCCGCTTAGCTTAAGCCACATCTGACCTCTCAAGTTTGTCTCCCCCTCTGTAAAGTGGGGCAGTACTGGCTCCCCCAGTACATCGGCCTCTGGGAGGGCTACATGAATAACCCAAAGTAGCATCTTAGTAATCCTTTGTCAGTACAGTCTCTGTCTACACAGAGTCTCCCAAACTTATTTGTCCTACAAACAGAAACCCCCCTACAATTGAACAGTTTCTCCCACAATTGCCACCACCTCCATGGATACCACCAGCACCTCTCTGGGAGGTAGTATTGCAACTTTGGGAAACTCTAGTCTAGAGGTCCTCCCCTGTATCAGGCAGGGAAGGGTCCATCACCACACACACACACACACACACACACACACACACACACACCAGCAGCATAATTTGACTCAGGATCTGGTACTAAGAAGTACTCGGTGAGAAATAATTGGATGCCTGAGGTAAGTAGGCCCCGTACTCAACAGTACCTGCCTCTTTTTCCCCTAGAAAAACAACGTAGTGAATGTCAATAAGGAGCCTGTGGATGAGGTCGACATCATGGCCACCAATGGTGTGGTCTACGCCATCACCAGTGTCCTGCAGCCCCCAGGTAAGGTCCCAGAGCACCAGCTTTTCACTGACCAGCAGCTCGCCCTTCTGTCCATGTGGCCATGGGTACTCAGGAGAAAAACTATCCTGGGGTCCAAAGATGGCTCAGAGTGAGTGCCCCAGGTGAGTGTGTGGTCCTGCATCTGATCCCCGGGGCTTCCATATGCAGCCTCCGAGCCTGGGAGCCCAAGCAAGGAGCAGAGGAAAGGAAAACTAAGCACATAGCTAAGCCTGCATGACCTCAAAGAAAGGAGGAACTGTCAGCTGCAAACATGGCTACCAGCCACAGCTTCCTGGTGGCTGCTTAGCTGGGCCATTAGCCTTGCTCACACATGCCCCATTATTGGCCATGGGGATGCCATTAGCAGAATTAAAAGCAGTCCTCCTGGGGGCCAGAGCTATAGTTCAGCGGGAAGGGCGTAGGTTCAACCAGCCTAGGTTCAATCCCTGCACCCCATATACTCCCCTGAACCTGTCAGGAGTGATCAATCTCTGAGTGCAGTTTCAGTAGTCGGCCCTGAGCACCTCCAGGTGTGGCTCCAGAACCAAACACCCAAAGCACACCTCCTGGTGTCCCCCTGGTGGCAGTGCGCTTTGCTTCCTGTGAAGCTGAACTTGAGGCCAGCTTTAGTCCCCACTTGTATATTCATCAGGAACCAGGTTCCACCCCAAGGAAAATTCAAGGGGGCAAAAAATCAAGTCCCTTTTGAGCATTTGCATGAGCAGGAGTTGGAAGGCGCAGCTGAGCCCCTCAGCCCTGGTCGAGCACCTGCTCACGTTTCCTGTCTCTGCTTTTCCTCCTCTCACTCCTCCAGCCAACAGACCTCAGGAGCGAACGGATGAGCTGGCCGACTCGGCGCTGCAGATCTTCAAGCAGGCATCTGCCTATGCCAGGGTAGGAGCCCGGGCAGCCTCGTGGGCTGCTGTGCCCGTCTTCTGACTCTGCTCTTCCATGCCAACCTTGAAACCTCTCCACATGCGAGGTTGAGAGAGAAGCAGCCAGGCCGTGTGGGACCCTGCTGAGGAGGGGGGAGGGCAGGGACAAGCTCGACTCAATCCTTCCCCCACACCGCCTGTCTCCTGGTGCCTGGCCTGCCCCAAGCCTGCACCTTCAAATCATACTTGTGTTCCTTCCATGGTGTGCCCACCAGGGGCTTCTCTGGGCAGTGGTGTGGCATCTCAACTCAGGCTTCAGAGGCAGGCTGGGGGCAAGGGGGTAGGGACACCCACCTCCTTCTCAGAACATCCCTTTCTCTTTCTGGGCATTTCTTCTGTTCCCAGAGCATCACTCAAGCTTTCTTTGCTGCTTTGCATCAGGGGAGCCCCTGGGGAAGGTGGGGTGCCTTGGAAATTTGCATTTTCAGAGACTACGGGAAACTGTCCTTAATGCAGAGGCTGCTGGGGGGGGAGGGGCAGGGGCTCATTCTGCTTTGACCCTCCTTTCTTCCCTCTTCATGCCCCTCATCAAAGTCCTCTCATCCTGCTCCTGCGAGTCTTCCCAACACCCTCAAGCCCTAGTCTGTAGGAGCCTGTTTCTGGGGGTGTCCCAGGAAGGGCCTCTCAGACTCTCCCTGGAAGGGACTAACACATCCCTTAGGACTGCTGAGGCCTGCATAGGGGAACCCTCAGGCCCAGCCTTTCCGGGGTCCCCTTCCTCTCTCTCCTTGCTGGCATCTATTCTGCATAAGGGGGTCGTGAGTAGGGTCACTTCTTACCCTACCAGAAACCTATAACCCCTCGCATTTTCTTTCAGGCTTCCCACACCTCTGTGAAACTAGGTAAGTCTGGGCTGCGCTGAAGGTCTCAGAGCTTCAGTTGGTCTTACCCCCAGACAGGCCCCAGCCTGCTATCTGCTGCACAGCGAGGCACAGGCCAGATGCAAGCCCCTTCCCTTACCTGAGGGTGGAGGAAGTAGCACACCTTCCCAGTGAGCGCCATGTGGCGTGGAAGCTGGTAGGTGTGCACCCGGGCTTGGCAGGAGCCCATAGTGAAGACATGGCTCTGGCGTGTCTTCCCAGAGATGTAGGAAACCCTAGTTTGGGGGTGGGGGTGGGGGTGTAGCTCAGGGTAGAGGATTTGCTTTGCTTGTTCAAGGTCTTAGGTTCAATCTCAGGCATGAAAGGAAGGAAGAACCCCTGATGATGAGGAGGATAGTGCCACAGGCAGGGCGCTTGCCTTGCACACAACTGACATGTATCCAGTCCCCATCACCCCATCTGAAGGGGTCCCCCGAGAGTGATCCCTTTCTACAAAGCCAAGAGGAAGCCCTGAGCACCGCAGAGTATAGCCCCCAAACAAACCCCCACAAAAAAGGCATTCACAAACCAGAGCATATGCTGTGCAAAAAAAAATGGGGTCAGGAGAGGCCGCTGGGCCCTTGCTCGGGGTTCTGCGCTGTCCCAGCCAGCCTCAGGGAGTCATTGCTCATTGCCCCCCACTCTCTTTCAGCCCCCGTCTACCAGCGGTTACTAGAGAGGATGAAGCACTAGGGTGAAGATCTGCAGGCGGAAGGCACATCAGCAGCCCCCCGCCAGTTTCTCTGTTTGCCAAAAAGACTGAACGTTTTTGAAACCAAAATTTCTACTTCCATGTACATGGGGGCCGCACCGTCATGAGATCTGAGCCCGGGATGGGTGAGGGGAGGAAGGAGGGACAAGTGGTTTTGCTTCTGTGTTTGTGTGTGTGTGTGTGTGTGTGTGTGTGTGTGTGTGTGTCTGTCTGTCTGTCTGTCTCTCTGTGTCTGTGTCTGTGTTTGTGTGTGTGTAAACCCACTGCATGCCAAGACCCGGATGTCACGGAAGGACCCATCCCGAAGGCGGCGGCTCCTGCCCATGCCAAGTGCCTCAGTCAAAGGGCTCCGTCTGTTAGTGGCCCATCAAGCATGAATGTGATCTGGCCTCCTGGGAGCTCCTGGCCCAGTTTTGGTAAAGCTCTTGCACAGCTGGAGAAACGCATCCTGATAAGCTATGGTTGGACTGCTCTGGGGAGCATGTTCTCATGCTCACACGTGGTCGGGGAAGCTCCTGGGAGGATGGGGGGAGCCCAGGATCTCACGCATGTGACAGAGTTTAGGGGTGTTTGTGATAATAAAACCAGAGAAACGTGTGTCCGTGCCACGTTGGCCCATGTGTCTGCTTGGAGCAGCCCGGCCAGAGGATGTCAACCACACTTGGACCTCCAGACCCGAATCTTAGGGGGGCTCATTTTCACTCCCACCTTTACCAGCCCTTGTGCCCCCATTTTCCTTCCAGCCTTTAGACTCCCCACATCATGCAGGACTTTTCATGAGCCCTGGGTGCCATCCTGCTAAGTGGTATCCAGATCTCCTTTTTCTGAAGGGATGAGGACCCAGCCTCAGAAGATGGAGTACCCCTGTTCAGACAGGAAGTCGCCACGCTGGGGTGGGTACTCATCTTCTGGGCCGCAGAGGGCCACGTAAGCTTTTCCAAGTAAGCTGGTCTGGCTGTCCTGGACTCAGGCCCCCTGTGTCCATCCACTTTCAGATCCCCTTTGTTTGAAGGGCTTTGGTGCCCAGAGAGATGCTGTGTCAGATTGGGTGTTTTGTTGTGGTGTCACTGCCATCTGGGGGGAGGGGAATCCTGCATCTCTTGGGAGCCAAGTTCTCAGGGCACACTCCTGGACTCATCAGGAAAACCTGTACCCTGAAAAAAGAGGTTTAGCTTAATGTTTTAGCCTCCCAAGTGGGCTTTTGTTGAGGTATCCTCATTTATAATAGTTCAGATGTTGTTTCATGTGTGCAGTGCTGCTACGCCTCAACCACCCCAGAGTCCCAGAATCTCTTTACCATTATCCCAAGGTCCCCTTCCCTCCTTTGCCATCCTCTGACTGTCTCCAGTGGGCAGGGTCTAGACCCTTGCTTTGTTTCTTTAAGCTCATCAGACACCCTTCACCAGCATCACTTTGTCCCTTCCCCACCGCAGTTCTATCCAGGTTGTTGCTACCTGGTTTCATCTTTTCTCCTGGCTGAGTGATAGTCAGCTGCTGTATTGGCTCATCTCTCGTCGGGTACTTGGGTAGTGTCCAGATCTTGGCTGATGCAGAGAGTGCAGCAGAGACCAGAAGTGTACATAGATGCCAGTTCAAATGAGAGTACTTTCACTTTAAAAGATCTTTAAATGTAGAATCAATGTCATGGGATTCCTTAAAAATCCCAAACCCCGCTATCTTTCCCTGTGGCCCCTGGCCTCATTTCCTCCCCAAAGGGGCCCCACTCTATTCTTTTACCTCTCCTGGGAGAGGCCTTCTTGGGACAAAATCATGCCCAGATGCTGCCCTTGCGGTCACCTCCCAGCCAAAGAGGGCTGGGGTCCTCTTTGGAGGATTCTAAACAGCTTTTCCCCTCTATTTCTGGCTTTTAAGGACACCCAGCAGTGCTCAGGATTTACTTCTGACTCTGCGCTCAAGGATCATTCCTGGTGGGCTCAGGGAGTTAGACGCAGTGCTAGGGATTGAACCTGGGTCGGCCACATGCAAGGCAAACACCTACCAACTGTACTATCTCTCCAGCCCCCCAGCGCTCTCTCTTCTGTTTCCCTGGAGACCGAAGTGAGCATGAAGTGCAGCCCAGTTTGGAGGGTGTCTAGCATGCTCCCAGAGGAGGCTGATGCTGGAGGAAGCTATGAGCCTGCCTCTGTCAGAGGCTGGAGGGACTGGAGAGATGGTACAGTGGATAGGGCACTTGCCTATCGTGACCAAACCTAGCACCCCGTATGATAACCTGAGCAGAGAACCAGGACGAAGCCCTAAACAACTCAATGCCCCCAAACCCAACATCAACAACAGAACAGAAACAGACCAGAGTCCAGCCCTCCTGGAAGGAGGTTGTTCAGGGATTCTCTGAGCTCCAATCAGGAAGAGAAAGAAGAGGGAGAAGGGGAAGGGGCTCAGCCTGAGAATTCTCTTGCCTCTCTGCTGTCATTCGGGGCTGGTCAAGCTACAGAAAATAGCCAGGCCCCTCAGCATCGGGTGCAAGGGCTTTTCATCGGGGTGTTCCCCCCCTGCTGGGGTACGGGGGGTGGGAAATGGCTGCCTCAGCAGCTGGAAGCCTAGAGGCGGCCTGGGTGCAGGCAGTGGTTCCAGGCTATGCTCCTTAGCACACAATCTCTTCCTCCTGTGGGCCAGGAGATGCTGAGCATCTGTGGACTCCTCATATGACTGCTGCAGAAACCAGAAGTCAGAGAGGGTCAGCAGTGTGTGACCTCTCAGTGGAGGAAGAGGCAGGAATGCACTCCTGCCCCCCACCGCTGCAGACCCCAGGCTGCAAGGAGAAGAGGCCTGGGGAGCTCTGGGCACATAGGACAAAAAGTTCCAGGATTGCCAGAAAGGCCACCTCTCCTCCCTGCTGAGAAGCCCCCCAGGCCTCTGGTCTCTGCCTTACAGCCGGAACTTGTCTTCACTCATAGGCAGCTGGGCCAGGAAGGGAGGCAGCAGCCGTGGGTGCCCCCTGCCCACATGGATATCAGGAACAATGGGGAGAGAGAGGAGGGAATTTCTCACGCAGAGGAAAATACCCCTCGAGTTATAATTCAGTGTCAGCTCTAAGAGAAGCTTTCTGGAATATTGTGCTCAGAAATCTTTCCAGAGCCCAGGGAGAGAGCCAGGGAATGAGGGATGGGCTCCGGGCGTCTGCCTGTCCAGAGGAGTCAAACGGGGCCGCCTTTCACACCCCGGCAGGGAGAGCACATGCATCTGCCCCGTGGCTACAGCCCGGGCCAAGCTCTGGGCTGAGACAGTTCCTAGAATAACGTTGGTGGTGGGAATGTGGGGCAACCCCCACCTCCGCCTTCCACGCAGCTGCCCACGCCAACCCCAGCCCATTGCAGGGTTTCGTGCTGCCCTGGATCCTGCAGCTAGTGGTGGACAGTGGAGCAGCTGCAGAAGGGTGAGGGCTGGGGAGGAAATTTGGCAGAAAGAATGCCGTGCAGGCCTGACCAATGCTGGAGTGCTTCGTGTGGCTGGAGTGGAAGAAGCAAGCAAAGCCCTGTGCAGAAGTGTTTGGAAGCCAGGCTGGGCTGGGCCTTACAGTCTGCACTGGAAGTCCCAGACATGAGCCTTAGGACAAAGAGGAGCCACGTACAGACAGTTTTGGCTGGGAGCGACAAGGGCACTCCTTTTGAAGTTGTGGTCGAATAGACATGGCATGGAACTAACCATTTTCATTTTTGTTGTGAAAAAATGCTGGGGGGACCCTAGAGCTCTAAGTCCAGTCTGGTGAAGAACCCCATGAGTTCAGGTGGGGTGCTTCACCTGAACTGTGATGTAGCAAGTCTCAGAATCTCCTTCCCTTTTAAGATCTAACAATGTTCCACTGTGGATTAAGCATATTTTGTTTATTCATAAGGCTGCTGTGAGCCTAGGAGGACCAATATCTGTGAAAGTTCAATCCTTTGGGATGGAAGGAATACAGAACTCATATTGTTGAATGTAAGCAATAGAATTTCTTTTAGAGATACAGTTACAAACTTTCATGATCAAATTTCAGTCATACAATGATCGAGCCCTCCATCAGTGTGCTTTCTCCACCACTAGTGTTCCCAGTATTCCTCCCACCACCCCCACCCCAGCCCAGCCCCTGTCTCTGTGGCAGGCACCTTCCTTCTTTCTTTCTCTACTTTTGGACATCAAGGTTTGCAATACAGATACTGAGAGGACATCATGTTTGGTCCTTAATCTACTTTCAGCACACATCTCCCATCCCGAGCAATTCCTTCTACCACCATTTACTTAGTGGTATTTTCACCATCCCAAATGCCTGTTCCCCCCAGCACATGAGGCCGGCTTCCAAAGTGTGGAAGCATCCTCCTGGCCCTTATCTCTACTGTCCTTAGGTATTAGTCTCATATTATGTTACTTTATATTCCACAAATAAGTGTAGTCATTCTATGTCTGTCCCTCTCTGTAGTTTCTAATTTAGAAATTAATTCACTTAGCCTGATACTCTCCATGTCCATCCATTTATATTTAAATTTCATGATTTCATCTTTTCTAACAACTGCATAGTATTTCATTGTGTAGATGTACCAAAGTTTCTTTTAACTAGTCATGTGTTCCCGGGCACTTGGGTTTTTTGCAGATTCTGGCTATTGTGAACAGTGCTGCAATAAACATACAAGTGCAGATGTCGTTTCTACTGTGTTTTGTTGCATCTCCAGGATATATTCCCAAAAGTGGTATTGCTGGGTCATATGGGAACTCAATTTCTAGTTTTAGGAGGAATGTCCATATTGTTTTCCGAAAAGGCTGGACCAGTCGGCATTCCCACCAACAATGAGTGAGGGTCCCTTTTCCCCCACATTAGTGCCAGCACTGGTTGTTCTTGTTCTTTTTGATGTGTGCCAGTTTCTGTGGTGTAGAATGATATCTTATTGTTGTTTCGATTTGCATCTCCTTGCTGATTAGTGATGTAGTGCATTTTTTCATGTGCCCTTTGTCCATTTAAATTTCTCTTTTGAGGAAGCTTTTGTTCATTTCTCCCCATTTTTTGATGAGGCTGGAGGGTTTTTTCTTGTACAGTTCTACCAGTGTCTTGTTTACCCTGGATATTAAGCCCCTATCTGATGGATATTGGGTAAATAATTTTTCCCATTTCGTGGGCTCTTTCTGTATTTTGGTCAGTATTTCTTTTGAGGTGCAGAAGCTTCTTAGTTTAATGTAGTCCCATTTGTTTATATTTGTTCCCATTTGAA